ACCTGGAAGTTATCGGGTAGGGTAAGTGCGTTATCCCTCTATGAAAGTGGCAGCTGATAATGCCCACTTACTCGCACCGCACAAGTCTCTGCTATCAACAGTGCTCTTTGATCCTCTAAAGAGAGACTAGTGTTCGATGCTAAAGTGTCTGCGGATTCCGAGTTGTTCAGTCGTTGCAAATGCTCCTGGATGCCCTGATTGCACCCGGTTATACAATGACTGACGACCTTCTGCTTCGTCCCGTTTTTCATCAGACCAAGAAATATCCAACCGAGTAAGGTTCTCACAGCAAACGGCTGTTTTTTACCCCCCAGGCGCTGGTCGAAGACCCAGTGCGCTTCAGATACGTCACAACCAATAAGGATTCCTAAACCGTTCTAAGTCAGTTCGTCGAAGGCAAATTCGTTAAGGTGAGGCCACTTGCGAGCCCCTTCTTTCATAGATGAGACAGCTTGCATAGGTAAGCTGTCAACGACGAATGCCTTGTCAATATATATCGACCGGCTTTCATCCGTTGATAAAAGCCTGACATCATTAGCTTCCGATGTGCATCCCATGGAACCACCCAGTTTATCAATGGTCATAGACGTGGGTAGCAGCCTGACCCCATTTTTCACCAGAAGGTCCCGCTTTACTAGCGTTATGTCGGACCCAGCATCTAAAAATGCATACGTTGTCACCTTTCCTGCAGGACTGTCAGGCTTGACAGGAATGACTCCTAGGCGTGCCGGAAGCCGACTACCTCGAGTTAAGGCACACAAAACCTCCGCCTCTGAGGACGTCGAAACTTTGTTTCCGGGTTGTGATGTATGTAGCAAACTATGATGTCGTCCCCTACAACCCGGCTTGGCGCACCGAACTACTGGCTTGCAATCCTTGGCCATGTGGGAGTCTCCTAAACAGGCAAAGCCTGCATTATGCTCCCGTATGCATTTCCGTCTGTCAGGAACTTTCATAAACAGAAAGCGCTGGCAACTGGCAATTGGGTGGGGCTGTGAACATAATGCACGAGCGATTGAACGACCATCTGCGTCTGGTCTGATGTTAGTAAGGAAAGTGGTATAACCATCCCGTCTAGGGGTTTGGTTGATGGAAGTCGGCGTTACAGGAGGGCGTCTTACGTCCTCATCTCGTGCCAGTTGCCCGAACCGACTCCTTGGAACTCGGGAGCGCGTGTTCACAAACTTCGTCAAGTCTGTTCCCGGCCACTCACAGATATCTTATCTGCCATCTCAGCCCATTTGTGTTGCAATGGCGAAGGAAGAAAACGCACAATTCTCTCTACAACCGCTAGTGAGTGTGTCTCAGACGTAGAACATTTGCGTCAGCGCAATTTCGCAACTGCGCATTTTTATACACAAGTTCGACAAAGTCTTGGTTGCTACAGTGGTCTGTCGTGCAAAACGAAACAGGCTTTCTAGTAGACAGCGAGCGATAATATGAGGCTGACCAAAGAGATTGCGTAGAATCTGCCGTGCCCTGGAGTATGCTACTTCCGGTGGGAGCATCACACATCCTTCAATAGATGCCTTCGCGTCGCCTTGACAGTAGTGGATCAGATAAAGGAGCCTCTGCCGGCGTCCTGCATCTTGCTCTCAATGTATAACTCAAATTGGCGGGTGAACCTCCAGTAATGACACGGATTACTATCAAAGTATGATAGTTCCACTTTTGGTAGGTCCATAGTGGCTGACACTGGAGTGACGGAAATGGCTGATTCTGGCCCTGGGGATGGCCCTCTGATATCATCAGCATATCTTAGTGGTCTTTCACCTATCTGACATTGCTTCACGTACCCCGCTAATCGTTTATTTAGGGCCACTGGTTCCCAGACTTCATCTAGTGAGTCCGCTTCGGCCTCTAGCTCAATTTTGGCTAACTCAGCTTTGCTATGCGCCTCTAAGAGAGCCCGCTGGAGCTCAACCTCCCGCTTAAACCGGTACTCCTGGAACAGAGCAATCCTTAAAGCTTTCTTAGATACACTACTTTTATGACTAGAAGCACAAAGTGGCTTACAAGAAACATAGCGCGAAGCAAACTGCATTCGAATTGTTTACTCCACAGCTTCAATCGTCTCCGTGTCCTTGGATCCGGTTTCCCTCAAAGTTGTTCCAAAAATTGACATCCTTTCATCAAACGAGACGACATAAGACGTCGAGTACTGTAACGGTCGAACGGTATCTTCGAGTGACGCGTAATACCAGAACCTCCGGGTAGGCAAAACAAAGTCGGAGCTGGGTTTCTATACGGTACTATTAGGGTAAGAGAAATTCACAATTTGTACAAACCTCGACAGTAGATACGCGTCCAAAACAAGCAGTCCGCTTGGACTTCAAAAGTGCAAAGCAAGGGAGCAAACAGGCTCCAACGTGCGACAGTCACACGTGCAAAGTCAGATACAAATGGCTGGATGACCTCAAGGCCATATGGGTGAAGTGGTAAGGACAAACAAAATGGGGACATAATAAACGTGGGGAATTTCATTGTCAACATAACGGATTATAAACCCAGCGTGCACAACCGCGTGCATAGATACAGACCTATAAGTCACTATAAGTAGCTAGGTTAAGCCACAGTGCGTGCTGTTATTTGCTAGCAGTGTTTGACCTCATTTTATGTCAATGCTGTTGGGCTTGATCACGTGTCCTAACTCGGGAGGCTCGTTATTTCCAATGGGAAATGCGTTGTGTTGTTAAATATGATGCAGTTATTTCACAAGGCTGGTCTGTCTACTGGCTACTCGTGCATATCAGAGAACGAAAAGGTGCATACTATCACAGAGGTGCATACAATCACCAGTATTGCATAGCGCATCAACTTCCCTTCCATCATTATACTGAGCGTGATGCGACCTTCCCAAAAACCGTGTTATGCCGGAGCTCGCTGAACAAAATTAACTAATTTGTTACGGTTGAGGGGTTTTACATATGCAAACTATATTACACTGTCCTTCTAGACAGTATTCTGAGGATGTTGTCTCACCTGTAAAGGACACCGCGGAAAACAACAATGTGCTAAAGTAAGGTTATGTGCCTCGCCGGTAATGAATTTCAAATCGATGATGTTGGGATTCCGCTCGCTTAAACAAAATTCTATAAGTAGCGCGTCACCTTGACATGCAGACGGATTAGACGAATCATCCGCAAATGTCACAACTCCGAAAACCCCGTGGTTTCACCGAAAACAATTTGGGTTTACTTGTAGTGAGTGGCAACGACCAGTACTATCTAATTTTTTGCCAGTAAATTGGCTAACATGCAGTCACCTGCCTTTATCAGAGGATGACCTGGCCTATCCCGACCTCCTAACGAATCTCAAATCTAGTTTGCTGCTTCTTTTGTTGACCACAGGAACTTATTAGTTATTCCATCAATTATAACTGTCAAGGCTATACTACCGAACGTGTTCTTAAAATTTCCAGCAGATTTACCCATAATTGTGGCGCGATATAATTGACACTGGTACAATACTTTCAATGGCGTCCGGTGCCGAATTAAAATGCGCTGACCCAAGTTCACTGCGGATTACTTCATTAGCATTAAATGATTTCGGTTTCCTGGTGTCGTCTGTGGGGTGGTTGGTGGGGGTGGAGACACTAAACCTCAAGATCCATCTGCATATTTTATGAAACTTCTGATCTTATTGACGGCGTCACTGTAGATACAGCGTGTAAGCTAATTTCACCGGGCTGCATACTGAGACAATAACATCTCAATGCGTGGCACAAATACAAAACTGTGGACAAGCATTTATAATGACTGTCCTTTTGCAAACGATGGAGGGTGACGAATCGTAGCTAAACAGAGCAGCCAACGAACAGTGAATAATGCGCATAATTTTCCCACGTTACGTTCCCACACTTCCGATGCACTTGAACCACGATATCTCCTCACGCTGATTGGTTGAAGGCGGCCTTGAGCTAAAGCCCTGTGGCTCCACGCTCGATGGCGGACGACCCCGATGTTGACCAGGCTGTTAGAGTTGGAGATGTGGATGGCATGGAGGAAACGGATAAGAAGGACACAAATGAGCGTTCGGATGAACTTGACAAAAAAGAAGATCAAGTAAGCACACACAGTTGGCTGTTCACCGGCAGATTACTGACGACCAAACGACAGATATAGACTTTACTTACAGCGATTCGGATGAATATACGGTGGAAATAGCTGGTATCTAAGTTTGCCTACCTACTAATTTTCAGAGCTCTACAGCTACTCAGAGGAGCAAGAATTCATTCTGAATAAGCAGTATTTCAACGAGGACTTTTCCAACTACGGTGAGTCAACTGTATACGCAGGATTTCTTCACAACGTGAACATTTGCAGTCTACTGGCAAGGATCATTCCAGGGTTCGGGAGTCTCACTTTTATTGATTGCCACCTCGAGACTAGCTTGATTTCTGCTATAAACACCACACCAGCACTGAATTTTAGGTAGCTGGACCTCACGGCTTTCGAATAGCTCTTGAACCAGTTAAAGACGGCGATCGCTCAAGGGTACAAAAACGAGCTTAAAGTGCCTAGGCTGTTATGGGTGCCAATGATGTTATGCCTTTCCTCCCGGGTGGTGAATTTGCGAAGTTGCCTTCCTGAAACTGCAGTTATGGCACTGATGGTTGCGTATCTTACGCGCACGCTTGACGCGTATGTGTTGGGTAGCCTTCAGACTTGAAATGACTAACCCCAACCTAAAGGGATCCATCCTATTCACCTTCACAATTCCACCAACCGTCCGTCATTTGGTCCGGTGTACATCGCGCAATGGTGGGTTTAAAACTTTTGTGTATTAACAACAAACAAAGCTTAGACGAACATTTACCTGGGTCTGATTGGGGGATAGATTCAAGTAGCTGATGGCACACCGGATAGGTGGCTGCTAGTGTGGGAACATGCGTGTACGAGCTAGTGAAGATGTGGCAACACTGATGGCTAATTCGGCGCTCTGCTTGTACTTTGATATGGATAAACGACTTCACAAGGTAGTAGTTGATATCATTATTTTGGGCGAAGTTCGAGGATTAGGCGATGAATACTTTGTCTCGAGTGAGCATATTGGGCCTGTATTGCCGATCCGGCTGCCTGCTCTCAAGAGTTAAGGATAAGATGGATAGTGTACCTTCTATGGGAAACGAGTTTGTGGTTTGGTCTTTTGCGTATTCTCGGTGCTCGGTAAAAAGGTAGCATAAAGGACAGGACAATGTTGGCAATAACACCACTGGCTTGCCACGATGATTATCACACCGTTTTTATCGCTTTTGGAGGACCCGTAATAATATTATGCGCCTGAATCTCACGGAACGGGTTGAGTTTTCTGGATTGAGCACAGCAGCCAGTAGAGTGGTTCGGGGAGTTTTAGATTGCGTAATTTATAGACCGCAACAGGGGTCTCATCTCCGGGAGGTTTCTGCTCTCCAGTTGTCTTGAAGATCATTATGATTTCCATTTTACTTGGCTCATCATGGTTGAAGATGCTGAACTGGTCTCGAGGCCCCGAGTCCTAGTTTACAAATGGCCGTCACGAAGGGACTACCTTACTGTGGTGTGACGATTTACGTACCTCAGTGACCTATCGAGCTATACTGGAGGATGTCCTCGCGGCACTCACAGAGTCTCATGCTAAGTTTGTTAATGGTTAAAGGTTTGGAAAACAGTCTCCCGGCCCTCCAGGTTGGGGGTTGGAACATGTATGACGAGGTGTTCCATGAAAATGGTAATATGCTTGCATTCCAAGCCCAACACCACTGCCTTACGGCTAGGCTTTTGGGCCAAAGGCCTTGGTTGAGAACCGTAATTGTCCTCCTGTCCAGATGTGGGTGCCCTGGTAGTACCCCAGCCCACGTACAGTCATGATACCTACGTCTAACAATAAAGTCATGCCACATGGGCCGTTGCGTCGTCCCATCAGCCGGGGCGCCTTACTTGCTGCATACAGCAGGGCGGGTAAGCGAAGACATGCTACGGCTGACGCCTCCCTTCTTAATTTTCCACGTTTTCAGTGGTCCACCCTCCCCCGCCCAAATTTGAACACTTTCTTCGCAGGTACCAGCTCTAGGACTGACCGTTTTGCTCGCCCTACATCACACTCAAGTGCAGCTTCTAAACGTTCGAGTTCAGTCACAACCCTCAACGCTTCGAAGTCTGTTTTCAAGCCCCGAAAGCCTGTCTACTTAGCCACCTTCAGTTTTCGCACACGGAAACCAGCAGGTCAACACGTGTCTCTTACTCGTATGCTGGATTCCCTCTGCATTGATCTGTGTTATCTGTCAGAAGCAGGGACGCAGGACACAAGTGCTGTGAGCGAACAAGCGGAAGCGTCTCTGCTTGATTGGATACCCGTTGGTAGTCGCCTCAGTGCAGTTCGTTTGGAAACATCTGTGAGAGAATCTAGAGGAAGTGAGATTCATCACACCTTGTTTATTGTGTCTGCTTTCGCCCCAACTGACTGTAGCTCTGAATCTGCCAAGGACCGTTTCTATGACGCTCTGAGTGTCCTTCTACATCAAGCTAAAGGCTCAGATATCGTTGGGGTTGCTAGTGATATGAACGCCCAGGTAGGTAGACTAAGGTCTGCTGAGGCCCGATCGGGTGGTCGTCTTGGTTTGTACACGAGACGGACGGACAATGGAAACCGCTTCAGATGTGTTCCGGTCACAGGCTGTTCCTGTGCAGTACAAATTTCCGGAACAGGGGAAATCGCTTGACAACGTGGTACCCGGTGTTCCATGAAAATGGTAATATGCTTGCATTCCAAGCCCAACACCACTGCCTTACGGCTAGGCTTTTGGGCCAAAGGCCTTGGTTGAGAACCGTAATTGTCCTCCTGTCCAGATGTGGGTGCCCTGGTAGTACCCCAGCCCACGTACAGTCATGATACCTACGTCTAACAATAAAGTCATGCCACATGGGCCGTTGCGTCGTCCCATCAGCCGGGGCGCCTTACTTGCTGCATACAGCAGGGCGGGTAAGCGAAGACATGCTACGGCTGACGCCTCCCTTCTTAATTTTCCACGTTTTCAGTGGTCCACCCTCCCCCGCCCAAATTTGAACACTTTCTTCGCAGGTACCAGCTCTAGGACTGACCGTTTTGCTCGCCCTACATCACACTCAAGTGCAGCTTCTAAACGTTCGAGTTCAGTCACAACCCTCAACGCTTCGAAGTCTGTTTTCAAGCCCCGAAAGCCTGTCTACTTAGCCACCTTCAGTTTTCGCACACGGAAACCAGCAGGTCAACACGTGTCTCTTACTCGTATGCTGGATTCCCTCTGCATTGATCTGTGTTATCTGTCAGAAGCAGGGACGCAGGACACAAGTGCTGTGAGCGAACAAGCGGAAGCGTCTCTGCTTGATTGGATACCCGTTGGTAGTCGCCTCAGTGCAGTTCGTTTGGAAACATCTGTGAGAGAATCTAGAGGAAGTGAGATTCATCACACCTTGTTTATTGTGTCTGCTTTCGCCCCAACTGACTGTAGCTCTGAATCTGCCAAGGACCGTTTCTATGACGCTCTGAGTGTCCTTCTACATCAAGCTAAAGGCTCAGATATCGTTGGGGTTGCTAGTGATATGAACGCCCAGGTAGGTAGACTAAGGTCTGCTGAGGCCCGATCGGGTGGTCGTCTTGGTTTGTACACGAGACGGACGGACAATGGAAACCGCTTCAGATGTGTTCCGGTCACAGGCTGTTCCTGTGCAGTACAAATTTCCGGAACAGGGGAAATCGCTTGACAACGTGGTACCCACCAACAAACCAGCGCCGAATCCAAATAGACTGCATCACCTTCAGTTATCGATGGCAAGGGTCGATCACCGCCTGCCGCTCCTTCTGGAACACCAGCGTGGAATCCGGACAAGCACTTGTACGCTGCTGCTTTTCATTGCGCTTTTCAGGTGTACGCGAAACGCGCACACCTCGCTTAGCCATTGAGAAGCTAGTGAGCTGGGAAATCACATAAAGGTATCAGAACCAGCTTCTAGAGTGTCTGCCGGACGGTACGGTCACCGGAAAAAATATCCAAAGTGCCACTCAAAACCGGGATGTCTGTTTGCGGTACAATCCAGCCAACCTCATCCAATCAGTGGATCTTTGATGGGACCGTGTCTTCGCTGGGAACCTGGCCGCCACAACTCCACCCGGTGCATCACATGACGCCAGGTGAAACTGAGTATCCATGCAGACCGAGGAGCTTGATGGACCGGGAGGCTGAAGAAATGGAAGATGCAAAGAATGTTGGAAACGTGCGCAAATAGTTCGACTTGATTCATTCGACTGGTCCTTGGAAAACTGTTGTCAGCGAAGTAATCAGAGACCAAAATGGCTCCCTGATATGCAGCAAAGCAAACCGCTTCGAACAGCAATTCAGCTGGCCACCTGCTACCCCCAATCCAGAAACCTGGACTTCATCAGAAAGGTGGACCGTAAATATGGAGCCGCCTTCTGCCTCAGAAGTGTCTGAATGAATTTCTCTATTCAAGCGTAATCGTGTTGCTGGTCCTGACGACCTTCCAGTTGCACTTTTCAAGGATGGCAATGGATTCCTCAGCCAGTGCCTATCTAGCCCATTTGGGTCTACCTGGGAGAAGGAGACCGTCCCAGACAACTGGGGTGAATCGATAGTGGTGCCAATTTTCAATAGGAGTACTCGCAGTGAATGTAGCAACCACAGATGTGTTAATTTGACGCCCGTTGTGAAGAGGCTTCTGGCGTCACTGATTCTTCGTCGTCTTACGGTGGCATGCGAAGCCTTGACCCGTGAGAATCAAGCGGGATTTCGACCTGGTACAGGCTGCGTTGATCAAATCTTCACACTCCATCAGGTGTTAGAGCAACACCACACAATCCTGGTATTCCTTGACTTCAACGGTGCGTTTGATTCTGTTGATCGATCAGTGCTGTTAGCTACACTTGCTCAACACGGTGTGCCCCAGAGGTTTGTAACCAATCCGATCCCTATATTCACATACTTCTGGGCGGGTTAGAGTATATGGTGAGCTCTCCAAACGCTTTCCCACGAAAAGTGGTGTCATGTTCAACTTCGCAATTGATGACATAATGAGGCGAACACTGGGCGGTCTTCAAGGTGTTCTTATTGTTGCTGTTGAGAGCCTTGTCGATTTGGAGTACGCAGATGACATCGCTCTCATCGCTGACGAAGCACAATCTTGTTTCTTAAACTGACCATCATACCATCTTTTGGCATGCGCCTTGCACCTTCAAAGTTCAAAGTCATGCTTCAAAACGTGCCATCTGCGAACATATCCCTTACAATTCAAGGAGAATCACCGGAGATTGTTGAAAAGTTTACATACATCGGCAGCTGTATTAGTTGCCCGCTTCTGAAACTTCGGTAGTTGAAATGCTCCCAGGACTTCACCTCACAGACATTGAGTGTGCGGACGATATGGCTCTCCTTGGCTCAGATCCTTCAAAAATGCAAACCATTTTAAATAACCCAAATAGATCTGCCACCCAGTTCGACATGCGCTTCACACCTGCAAAGTGTAAAGTGCTGCTACAAGACTGCGTTTGAGCAAACCCGTACCTGTTGCTTGCAGGCGAGCCGATCGGCGTAATAGATAAATTTAAGTTGGCAGCTGTACAAGTTCGGGTGGACTGAATTCAGAATAGGTTACTTTTCGGATCGGAAAAGTCACGACAGCTTTTGCCAACCGCCAACACCTATGGCACCGACGTGACGTCAGTTTGTCTGTTAAGGACAGTTTACACCGCGGTAATGCGATCCACACTCTTTTATGCATCAGATATGTAGCCTCTATGCGCATTGATCGAGTCCGGTGGGAACATCGGATTAGTAGCCAGATGGTCCTGGGAAGAACTCTTCAGCGATAGGTGAATTACCCAGGCTTCATAGGTTCCGCTGGTTTAGATGTGTACTCCGCATGCCAGAGGACCGTGTGTTCCGCAGAACTATTTTCGCTGATCCCTGAACTGAATGTAAATGACCAAGAGGTGGACAGCGTACAACCTAGCAACGGAACACGAAAGCATTAACCATTAAACTGAGTCGGGTCGATAACAGCCGCCTCTCTGAATTGGAACCCGAGGAATCAACTCACCAATCGTTAATGACAATGATAGAAATGGCTCAATCGCGCAGTCAGTGGCGTTCGTGCATCAAAGCCAACCAACTAAACATGCCATCACCTCAAGGCTTGGCTATATATCTCACACTCTCTCACTTACCGGCGATGGGAACTGTAGCAGCTAGAACCAATATGCCCATGGTTCATGGTTTATAGCTGATAAACTGAAATGATTGGTTGCTGTTACTTTTTATTTTAGCCCATGGAGTTATCTCACCCTAGAGAAACCATACTTTTTCGGGATTCAGCTTGTTCCTGTAATCGAGCACAACTGGCCCAGTCGTAGCTACTGGCGGTGACCTCCCGAAGACCAGCAAATTTATTTAGTCGTCTGATGAGCAGAACCTGGCCTTCGAGATATCAGCATCCTCATAGTTTATCAGTCTAACACCAGGTTCATCCCTTATTTACTCTTTTTCGGTCAGGCTTTTCATGTAAATAAATAAGTTGTCGTTGTGCAACAGAGAGACATCAGTGTCACAAATGTGCTCGAACGCATCTGTGCTGTATCCGTTACAATAGAAACTCTTCGTCTGAGCAACTCGCAGTGTGGCTGGTATTGTGAGTGAGGTGTCGATATTATGTTGGAAAATAAAGCACTTGACGTGTACCACTAGTCCATTGCGATGGTAGTGTTCCTTACAGTGCCTCCAGACCAGCTCGTGGCTCTCACCAAGTCCCTGGTGGTACATCCTCGGATCTTGTTTTTTCATGTTTGAGTCGGATTCACGGGCTCACATACAAAGCCAATCTGGATGTGGACAAATCGTGTGCTATCACAGCTGTGTGCAGGCATCTGATGGTCCAACTCCTGTTGAAAGGCGTCTCTATCGGACTATGTATATTTGTATGTATATATATACTTATATATATGCCATACGTATTTATGTATGTTGGTATTATTCGTGTCTGTTAGTATTTCTTCCTTGATTTTATACAGCTCCAACAAAGTGGTTCGAAACAAGCTTCCACGAGCAACGTATGCACGTACTGCGCCTTTTGGACCGGCTGGAATCAGGCAAACGTGAAATTCGGCGACAGGCTGTTCGTTCTCTGCTCTACCTACTTCAAGGGAATTTCGGTGACTGTGAATTGGAAGAAGATCAAATCACATGGGCTAGAAAAAACGTATATCTGTGCATTGAGGTGGGGGTGTTTCCAGCAATCACTCAGCTTCTTCTGGTAGAGATTGAATATGAGTAAGTTTGTATGTTTGCCTGTGCCGTCAAATGAATACCAGATCACCATTGCTGCTTTTGATGAGAAGAGCAGTCCAGCGACTTGGTAAGGGGCATCTAGGTTTGCGAACTGACACGCCCGTAATAGATAATCTACGGCCAGGGTCGTGATAGTTTCCAGAAGCGAGTGCCTTGTCTGAGTCTCTGCTTTCACCGCATTTCACTGCAGCAGTTATCTTGTTCAGCCCCATGAAGATGAACCTTTTGGATCGGCTTCCTCGTATGCGCCCCAAGGTGCGGTCGGGATCCGTGCCTATACCATCCACTGAACGTATGAACTGGATTGTCAGTCGCCACACTTCAGTTGTGTTCGAGATCTATGCTTTGCTCATCTACTCCATGGGTTCTATGGTTACAGTATTAATTGCTCGGAATTTGTATTGTCCATGGCGTTGGATTCTTTCGAACTACGAAAGAGAGCAATGCATCGCAGCGTTCCATAATAACTGCATATACCTACTCCATACTTGCGTAACACAGTTGTACGGCAAAAAATTTATACGGCGGACAACATGAACATAATCCCTCTGCCTTATCACATGGGGCAAAAATTCTGTAACAGCTTATCTTTACTCGTCAGAAAGCCATTCCGAAAATAACATTACTCACCGCAGCACCTATCCATTGGGCGGGTCTCAAACTGTTATCGAATTTAAAACGCCTGTGCCGAGTGGTCTACAATTTAATTTTGCTGCGTTTGCCAGTCAGTTACCTCAGGATTTTCCCTTTAGTTTTGAGGTCCATTTTATATGGGTTTTCCTTAAGAGTCATTCCGATGTACGGTGCGTACTGTTTCGTGGATGTTTCATCGCATTTTGGAGGCATTTTCGGCGTCAGAAATGGGGGCTGCAGCCCTCCTAGTGCTGGGTTGCTCAAATTCCGTTCCTCAGCAAGGTTATCAGGCTACCAACTTGCTTCAGTACAACTGCTCCCAGGCTTTGTGAACAGCGTAAAGCGCAAATAGGCTGGACTGTTATGACTCCTCGGACGTCAGAGGAAATTGTCTACCAACCACCGCTAACAATCCTAACATGGTTGAGAAAGAGAGGGAGAAGGGCTGTTCAAGAAACGCAGTCACTTTTACTGTTTGTTTTACCGGCTGTCAGAAATCGCAGTCACTATTCATCGAAGGCCCTGTGAACCCCAAATTTTCCGTAAGGGATGCTCTGATTCACCGAATACACGCATTTGCAAATTGATTTAGTGCTAACGAAAGCTCAACTAAATTCCAGCATCCTTATTAGTTATATTCCCTCAAGAAAATATGCTGCAATATCTTCAATATTGTACCAGCTGAAAATTGAGGCGGCCTTTGTGCATCACATCTAGTAGAAGAATAATTTGTAGACTCAGCTGTGATTCAGCTGAGTCTCATGCTAAACCCAAATGAGTTTAAAATGAATTTACTTGGCAAATGGCGTACAATTTAGATTCAAGTAGAGCACGGGTTTGGCGGAAGCCAAGGGGTTGCGCCTACCTGATGAGCCCCGGGGATGAAACTGGTTATCGGCTATCGAATAGATTCTAGATATTAATTCGACTGTTCATCAATTAGTACGAAACTCATGAATTGCAATCTAACTGATATGATTTACAGATCAAGTAAGTCTGGCGCTATCGAGTTTTGTTGCCCGAAATAAGGGTGAGACACGTGCACAGACGGTCGTAAAAGTCACGCAGAAAGTAGGACCTCATTGTGGGAGATCAAGAACACTGGGACCCTGCACAAATTTCGGTTTATTATTGGTTTTTGCAGGCCACTCTTCCGGAAATGACACTTTATCGATGAGGGGTCAGTTGTTTCTCAGGAGGCCTTAATCTTGATCGAGTTAATCACTGGGCTGGGCGGTCTTGTTGCAAACATCGTCACTAGTTAAGGTGACGTAATCAGTGCGTTTCTTTGAAGAAGATCTGAGTTGTGCATTGGTGAGTGTGCTTGGAGCAATGGTGTGCGCGAATTTACGTAGTGCCTCTAAAGGGGTTTGCCCGGTAGGTCAATTGGGATTTTCACTCATGTTTTGACTGGTCGACGTCCAGATGATTGTCAACACTAAGCTTTCGGATAACGCTACCATACAGTGTTACCATCCAGTAAGTAAACACCGCAAACGTAGAAACAAAGAACTGATTATGTTCCATCTGTGTCTGCGACTCCTTGCGCACATCACTTCTTCCAGTGAGGCCAAGTTTCGACTTTCAAACCCGACTATACCGTACCCCCTGTAAACCTCTGCAGATCAGGGACTTGGCTAATGCGCTCAGAATGTACTGGGATTGTTCCAATGTCTATTTCTGGAACAGGTGGCAGTAGTAAAGTTCATCGGACGAAAGAACTTGTTCAGCATTGCAGAACCAGTGGTGCTTCATGGGTCACAGTACCTTGTATTTCCATGGACACCCTCATCCATGGCATCCTACGCAGCCATGTATATGGTGAAAACAAACCGGCCACCAATCGCGAAAACATTGGCTAACAAAGTCAGTCGCTAGTGGCTGTACGGATGGGAAACCAGAGACCGGAGCATGTCAATGATATGTGGTACTTAGTTGCTCCACAGCAAATGGAGCTCTCACATAAAAACAACCACCCTCAGTGCGTAGCTTTCCCAGTCCTCGCTTCATGGGCAAATCGGAAGTATTCAACGCCAACAGACCTGACTATCTCCTTACATCCATCCTGTCTGTAATAGATGTAACTTTATACGGGGTTAGTGGCTGACAAATTAAACCTAGCTACTGTCTTCAATGCATGTCTAAATGGTTTACTGCGTTCATTTCCTGATCAATACCCGCTTGTTTCAATACAACACTGCGATTTTAACGGTATGGCACTTTCAGTTGAAGTACTTTTAATTTATATGAACAGCAAGTGGTTCAGTTCGTCAGAGTCGGTCCCAGAAAATGCTGAAAACGATGGCAAGAAAGAGTCCAGTTCCGGTGCTATTGACTGCTATACTTCAACTTCCAAGAAGACTGCAGTTTCATTGGCAGATAGTGCAGATCTTCGAGCAATTCTATCTGTATTGTATATTATGGTTGAAACAGTTCGAGATGGGATGCAAACCAACATGAAGCCATCCGCCGGGGTCTCGAATACTGTTACTCAATCTCTGGACCGAGCAGCTAGCCTACGAGAGCAGTTTTGTGAAGAGCTGGGTATGTCTTAGGCGAGTTTGGTTAGAGATTATACACATAATCACATTGGTAGCATGTTATTTGTTTTCCCCATATTCGTAGTTTATGTACATTTGCATTCACGCACTCACTTATACACACACAGTAGCTTACGTGCATGCGCGCAACTAGGCCATGTCCCTACCTACTTCAAACATTGATGTATCCTGTCTTGGGGCTTCCATCCAAGAAAAGACAATCAACGGTGTTGCTGGGTTTGCTGATATTATGTTTCATACTTGGTTGCCACATCACTAGTTGTCCTCTGATTCCTTTCCACCATTCGCGTACTTGCGCAAAAAGGACTCTTTGAGGAGGTCGATTGATCGACATACAAAGCACAGCCACAACATCTCAATTTATTGAGTGTGATTAGTTCATCTGTATGGAACGCTATCGCTCCATTGTTCCAACCGGACTTGAACGATACTCCGTCAGTCAAAAGTTAGGATTTTTATAATATCTTTAGGTCGAAGCAATCTGGTTTCTGTGAAGTACACCATAGATTTTCAATCTCAGTCCTTGGCATATGAACTGATGTCACGTCTACCGGACAGATGTCGCAGGTTGGTACAAATTACCCTTACCCTACCGATACAGGTGACAGTATCGTGTATGACTAGACCACCTGGACTGATACATCTACGCGGCTAGAAAAGTTTGTCTACTACCCCAATCGATTAGTCTGAAAGCATGACGTTCGGCTTTAATCTTAGCCACTCCTTCATAGGCACTCTACACTTCGTGGACTGCGAAACAAAATTTATTGGATTATTTTATTATGTTAGCATTTCAGTTGGGCCATATTCAATGAGAACTATGTCATCTGCCTACTCGATGTCTGTGAACGAACGCCCTGGAATCGCTTCGACCATACAGGCATTAGAAACCGAGAGTGAGTCTTCCGTGATCACTTCATTGATAGCGCTAAGAGAAAATAAAACGACTGGCTGCCTAGCGAACACCACTGAATGCAGTGAACTTGGGCGAGCGTTTACCATGGACTTTTGCGCGTCCACGGGAATCCGCATACGGCGCTTTATGTAAGGCCGAAAATTTATGGAGACTCCTGCGCTCTGTAGTCACTGCACTGTCTGATGATCAACAAAGTCAAAGAGAACTTCCATGTCGATAAGGATAGCAATTGCTGGAAGCAATGCCCTATTCCAGATTTTAGCTGGGGTGAATTTTTGATTGGTGCATGTTCTTGCACGACGATGCATAAGTTCTACGGATCTGCTTTCCTGTCGTCAGTCAATCTTCGAAGGACAAGATCAGAAGGCCCCAGACGGTGCCATAGCTAGCAGACTAGTGCTACGATGGTTTTATGTAGTTGTTGCGTATCATTTTTGTATGTGATATGCTCATTCTGAGACTAAGTTCTCTTCACTAATTTTAGAACTAGAAATTCTCCTTTGAAGTGCACTGGATACAGACTTTCCAGACCTGGTGTCTTCCTTCACTTTGAGCAGGACATTCCGCACTTTCTTCCGACATTTCAACCTTCTGTGTGCATGTCTCCATAGTTTGTATTGCAGGAGACCAGCTAGACTATTCTTTCTGGTGTTCGGTCCTTCTTTACAATAGCGGCGTTTTTGCAAGTGATTATTATTGGGTCATGTTCTTCACTCGCCGTTTCATCGACAGTTGCCGTCCAATTTGAGCAACTTAGGTGGTATAGGGCTGTTTATGGTGTCAAGCCTTCTCCTTCCGTTTCGGCTCCCGGTTTTCCTCAGCTGTTGATCGTGAAGAGAGGCTGAGCTAGCTCAGATCGATACTACTGAGCTGTGGCAGTCCTCCCGAGAGGATGATGTACTTCTTGCTGACTTTCGAGCACCCGGTGGTGCTTGCACATCAGCTAGGGTGATCTGTATCTAGTTGTATGTTTCAGAAGGAGCGGCATTCGTGAACCGTGGCTCGCCACCTGTGACTGACGGCCGCATAATTCAACTGTATTCAACAAGATTCAACTGGTTGAGGTGCATCTGGTGGCGGGCACCTTACACGGTGCGAGTGTTTGTGTGGAAAATTCGCGCTGACCGGAAACAATTGATGGGCAGCGCGAAACTGGAGGAGCATCGCGAGGGAAGCACCGACTCCGAGTCGACCACCTAGGTGTTATTCGACAGAGCTCCGATGACCGACTTGGGCATTCACGTCACCCGCAAGAATGACAATGTCAGCTCCTCTTGCCTGATGAGCCAACCCAGTTAAATCTCGATAAATCTTCTCATATTCGGAACTGCATTCCGTTGTAGCATAAGCCGACAGTCCAAGCAAGCACCGATTTTCTGTCGATCTTGACTGAGCTGCATAACAGAGCGACTCGAAAACGACTTTTCACTGGGATCCAGTTCATTAAAGTGTGATTAGTGAAAGTGAGTGAAACTCATATGCCATGCATTTCAGGAGTAATCGTTTCTGGATCACCAGACAAGAGTAAAATGCGAAAGAGCTGAGTTCGGCATCCTGAGACGCTCGGTTATACTTGAGTCTTGTTTGTGTGTTCCGGTGACAACATACGTCGGCTTTCACGCGGTATTTTCGAACGAGCATTGTCTGGTTGGCCATTTGACTATGGGCAAATGATAGTTGCCGGTTGCCCATGGATTTCATTAAGATGTATCATTTTGGACGGTAGGGTTTTTTGGGGGGGACCTCATTTGATCCAAAAGTCTGATGCGCGAGGTGGTGGGTTTTCTTGCGGGCCGTGGCTCAATAGTTTGACCCCAGTGGCTATGTCCCAGATTAATCTAGTGTGGTAACTCGTTGAGTCTCGCCGTACCAACCATCCCTAACTCCGTTCTCGTAAACAACTTGCAACAAAGCTGAAATTGTCCAAGCCTACAACCCATCCTAGATATTATTCACTACCCACATCAGTAGTGGTTTAGCCGCTGCGCTGTCGCAATGGTTTGTCCCCTGTTCACTGATCGCGCTCTTGAAGTGTGACGCTGTCCCACCGTCGTCTTAATCGTCATCATCTCCGTCATCCTTCACCATGTTTTTCGTCGTCAGCAACATTGATGCCTCATAATAGTGCCAAATTACACATAACATCATACACTTGTCTCTGATAATGGTGAATGATCCAGTGGCAGTGTCTCTCATCAAGCGATTGTGTTGTTTTTTTCCGCCAGGGTCCCCCGTTATTGGTGATGGCGACACCACTCTGACAGTCATTCTGTTGGGCATGGTTCACCGCTTTTGTGGAGGTCTCGCACCCAACTTTCCCATGAAGAAAGTGCTACTACTTTTATGGAAGGTGTTATTGGTAAGTTGGTGCGTTTCTCTACCCTTCACTGATGATTCCCTGTCCATTGTGACATGTCGATTCCTCAGATGGCACTTCGCTTTTGCGCACGTCAGGATAAATATGAACTGTGTATCCTGACGGTACATACATTTTGTTTTCACTATGTTCATTTTCCGTGAGGAAAGAACCAATTTTCCTGGGTCCAAACGCTACTGGATCATTGTTCATTGCTTTAATCGACAGCAATACCACTGTCGGATTTGGCGTTTGACCTTCCGGTTTCATTAAGTCAGACACTTTTGTGCGCGCGATTAATGTGTGTGATTTTAATTAGCAGGCCACTTTCTATTCACAGCACAATTCTATTGGAAAGCACTACATCAGTCACAAATCTCATCTGCGACACCGTCCTCTCCCTTTTTCTATTATCTCTACTTTGTGTGCCGCCCTACGTATTCATAATAAATTGGTATCAAAGTAAATTCTGGGAATAAGAGCTTTTCTCGTGCGAGCGTGGTTCCTGAAAGAAACTGAACTTCATCATGGCGCGCCGGTTTGTGCATTCTACAACCAACTGCGCTATACTGAGAGGTCAATGTGATGCTCACAGGGTTATTCATATTATGCCACCGAGTGAGTAGAGTCCCGACAAATACAGTATCCTGATCCTCCAAATTGGGGAATGCAACTTCTGCTACCACCGACAGTGGTTATGGGTGATGCTGGTGTCGTCTGCACCACAGAACGGGGTCCGCTTATCTATCCACGTGCTTAGCTGGAGACATTGCAAGATAGGTGATGTCAGCGGGGTCTCTGTTTTCAATTTGAATGTGATTGTGGTAGGCTCATATTAGGCCTCTTCTCTGTCCAGTTCCTCTTTCCACGGCTGTGCGACTGTGAAGTGGCAGTCTCAATGATTTGGTGTTGACAGTGTTATTCGGACTCAGCCTTCGGCTCCTTAGCCATCCAATGCAATTCAAATCGGCTGTTGAGCGGAGGGCTTTTTACCTCAGTCGACTTTGGGGCTCAATCATGCGCTCAGTGGCCCTCCTGTATAAAAGTTATCGCCTTCAGTTCACACGTGCCGAGCCTCCCGTTTCTTAAAAAAAAACCGACACGTGCCGTCCCGTTTCTTAAAAAAAAACCCGACTGATTCAACACCAGCTAACTGATGATACAATCGCCTCCAACGTTTGGCTCTATCTACCCTACTCCTTTATTTTCCGGTCACCGGATCCGTAACAGCTGAAACCAACGTACCTTTGGTACTTGGTTCATGGCTGATAAACTGGACTGAACTACACTTCAGTAAACTATCGCTGCTGCTTCTGTTTCGCCATCTGGTCATTGATGTCGCATTTCCTTTCCATGCTGCACACGATCGCCTGCATTCGCAGGGTTTTTGAAACAATTCTCACCGTCCCCTAAACAGAGATATAGCTGGTCTTAAAGCGCTGAACGGAGCGTGTTTTAAGTGTTATTTGGTGTTTTTCTCCTCAACATTAAGTGCATTTCATTACACCTTACGTTCTGTGGTACAGCCTGCTCCTTGTACTTCTAACCTGTTGCATTTTACTTCACTTTTGCTTTGTCTTTCTTAAGATAACCCTTGGCCCAATTACCACTTTATTCGCTCGAAAAAACGCCGTCCGTGCCCGTTGGGGATTGCCTCCTCTGTCAGAAGACACATATCAGGTTATTCGCCGAGTTCGAGCGAACAGTCCTCCGGGAAGTTCCACAGACCAGCTACTTGCTCGCTCTTCACGCGCAAATAATAGACACATCACGTTGGGTCAGGGTAAGACTTATGGAACTGGTATACTTCCACTGGTGATTTAAATGAGTGCTCTCATTTTCAAGTTGTTTTCAATGAATTTTTCCTTACCCAAAGCAGCATTTCTCATTGGATCGCCACCTTTTCAAAATGATGGGAGGTTGTAAAAGGATAACGCCAATCTGGGCAGTAACTTTTGAGCGTTTGAGATAGATGTACTGTGGGTTGCTGCTCCGGTCGCTGTGTTGGTCAAAATTCTAGTTCGACATAGCATGTGCACTGGTTAAACCGTCTTCCCTCTAGCAGTTTAGACTGAATTGCCCAAGTAGTGCACTCTCCGCATGTGTATTTCCATTTATCGCAGTAGGTCTAATGCGCACCCATGGGTGTGTTTGCAGATAAGTATATATATA